TGACCAATGTAAGAGTTCGGCGAGGAAGTCGTCCCTAAGGGTATTCTAACCCGTAGAACACGAATATCACATCAGTTTGGCACGAAAACGTGTGGCTCCCGCACCGCATGCGCTTGCGCTGCCACATCGGTTTTGCGCCGGCGCCTGTAGCGCAGGTTACAGGTTGGGTCGCAAGAATTAATGTGATGTGCATGTTCTGCGAAACAAGCTACCCCTGATGACAACTTTTCAGTGAGTTTGGTGGTGTTCTCTGGCGCCATTTGGCGTCAGCACTTGTGGCGCAGGCGCCAAGCGTTTTCACGTCAAACGAATGTGATATTTGTGTTCCATGGGTCGAACAACCCCTGGGGGCGACTTTCTAGCCAAATGCTCAGTCATGGGAAAATCTCGATAAAAATCCAGCTCACCATCAGTTTCGGAAGTGTGGGGCAGTAAAGGGTTAATTGTGCCATACATTTTTCCACAGATAACCACCTAAAATGGTCTGGGTTTCTGGTTGTCATGTAATGAGCGAAGAAAATATAATGAAATTTGCCATGACTTTGTCATGGACAGATGAAAAGAAACAGAAGGTCAAGAAATCGATTTCGTTCCAGGAAGCCATCGTGCGTTTGGTCTCGATGGATACGAGGTGTACCACTTCGATCGATACGGGTTTGAAGCCATCGCATCCAGTGCAAGATGCACCTGTATAAAGAGACAATAAAACTGATGCACTTAATTGTACTTGGATAGAAATTTATTCTCGGGTACTTCCCGTGTAATGTAAAGTACAGTACTCGCCGTTTGAAATCGAAAATTCACGCGAATAACGCGAATCCTCGTTAATTTCGTGAATTCGTTATAACTCGGTTCAAAATTGAGCTTTCGAGAATCCGAAGATATCTTTGAATTCAGCTCGTCGGACACTATAAGAATATGCTTTGATACTTTGGAAAAGCTCCATATAGGATTGCGCCATGCACTCGATTTTCATCCCAGAAAGTAGTTGCTCGATGTGACGTGTATATAATCCCGCTTATGCGAGCTGACCGCTACTCACAGAGAAGGG